CCTCCTCACTGGCTGTGAGTGACAGCAGCAGGAGCCAATGATGTCTGCTGCTGTGTCTAAGCCAATGAAGAGGGAGAGAGCAGAGAAAGCCTCGGCTTTCCAGAACATCACTGGATCGAGATCGGGTTCAGGAAAGTATAGGGGGGCCTGACTGTAAAATGTTTTTTACCTTAATGCAGAGAATGCATCAAGGGTAAAAAACAAAACAAAAAAACATACACACCTTCTGCCTTTAGAACCACTTTAATGCCAAATTTTTAATACTAACATATTGTGCAGCCCTCTGGACATGTTGAGCCACACTTGAAGCCCCCGTATATTTATGAAGCTGCTCTAGATTTTCAGCCATGTAGGTACTTGTCCACACCATTCCCTTCACTGCACACACCACAGCCGTGATACAGCAGGGCCACTGGGTGAATGAGCCCTAATGTAATGACAAGCTGATGGCGGACGCAGCTGTGACTATTTGCAGTCAGCAATTAACTGTGGTTAAGGTCAGATGATTCTGCTGGATGGAGTCTGTCTGTGTCCAGCCATGATCACTGCAGGTGATTGCTAGCTGTTTGAACTGATAGCTGTGAATGTCACCAGCCTATCATTGCATTGCATTAGCTGAGGGGCCGCATTGTTTCACACACACCTCTCATTACAGATGCAGGAATCTGCAGATTCTTGCTGCTTGAATGTGAAAGTTGTTCTAATCACCTGTGTGAATGGACCCTCTTCTGGTATGAACAGAGCACATACACCAATTAGCCATAACTTTATGACCACCCACCTAATGTTGAGTAGGTCCCCCTTTTTACTGCAGTACAGCCCTGACCCATGGCGGCATTGACACCACTAGACCTCTGAAGGTATGCTCTGATATCTGGAACTACGCTATGAGTAGCAGATAATTTCATTTCTGTAAATTGTGAGGTGAATCCAAATTGTTTTTCCAGCACATCCCACAGATACTCGATTGGATTGAGATCTGGAGAATATGGAGGCCAAGTCAACACTTTGAACTTGTGTTCCTTGAACCATTTCTGCAGTGTAGCAGGGCACATTATCCAGCTGAATGAGGCCACAGCCATTAGTACATACTGTTTCCGTGAAGAAGTGTCCTTGGTCACCAACAATGTTTAGATAGGTGGTACATGTCAAGTAACATCCACATTAATGGCAGAAAACCCAAGATTTTCCAGCAGAACATTGCCCAAAGCATTGCCTCGGCCAGCTTGCCTTCTTCCCATTCTGTATCCTGATGTCCTATCTTCCCCAGGTAAGTGATGCACATGCACTCGGTCACCCACATGATGTAAAAGAAAATGTGATGTATCAAACCAGGCCACCTTCTTTCATTGCTCTGTGGTCCAGTTCTGATGCCCACGTGCCTATTGTGGGAGCTTTCGGCTGTGGACACGGATCAGTATGGCCACAATGACCAGTCTGCAGCTACGCAGCCCCATACACAACAAACTGTGATGGCCACTTTTCCTGTTTTCAACACATCAACTTCAAGGACAACATGTTTCCTTCCTGCCTAGTATATCCCACTGACTTTCAGATGCCTTAGTAACAAGATAATCAATGCTTTACACTTAAAGTGGAACTTTAGTCAGAAAATGAAGTCCTGCTAGATCACTTCAGGCTGTCCCCTTTTGCAAGTATAGCTATGTAAAACATTCAAAAATAAGTGTCTATACTTTAAAAAATCCAGTAATACACAGTCTCTCCCTGCTCTGCACATGCTCAGTTGCTCTTTATTTTTCGCCACTGTTCAGGAAATGTAGAGGCCGATCTGCTGACAGTCTAAAGATTTACTGCTAGTCAGGGCTCCAGCAAAATTGCAGCCTCTGGCAAGAAGAAATAGCAGCAATGCTGGTGGTAATTTACAGCATACACTAACTTTGATAGTATAATTATTAATGTGGAATGTATGTTCCCTGCTAAAGAACATCATTTTTTATCAAGCTGTTATGCGTAAAGTTCTACCTTAAAGTGGAATTTAAGTCTGGAACTAAAACTCCCTTCTAACTCCTATATGAACTACTCTGTAGAAGGAATATGCTTACACCTACCTTAGTCTCAAAGGTCATGTGATCTACGCAGTGACCAGCTTCAGGGGAAAGGAGACAGCGCCGACAACTGGTGGAATGCCTGGTCCGTGATGTTGCCCATATAGGGCAACCATTGTTAGCCCTCCCCCTCTCCCCTGAAGCTGCCGCTGGGAGCTGATCATGTGACTGGACTAGAGCGCTCTGAGAATAGGAATATATAAGGATCTTCTTTCTACAGAGCACATAGAATAGGAGTTAGGAGAGGGGAGGTTGAAAAGAGTTTTTTTTTCCCCCAAATCATACTTACCTAGGTGGATGCTGCATCGGTCCGATGCTGCATCTGTCCCCCGCCGGGTCTAAATGTGAGAACTTGGTGATCACATGATCGGAGTTCTCACCGCTGTTGTGAGCAGAGATTAGTGACTGTCAGTCACTGCTGCCTGCTCTGCCTCGAGCGCTGGGCTGTGAAGGGGGAGAAAGCAGCTGGCTCAGGCTCTCAATGGCTCACTGAGAGGCTGAGCTAGGTACCGCTTGAGGCTCTGGGATAGATTCTGACTTTAAAGTCGGGATCTTTCCCCAGCCTGGACCAGCTGATTGGCTTCAGCCAGCTGTCAGCTGAAACGAGTCACAGGAGTGCAGAACAAACTGTGATCCACAGAAGAACAGCCAAAAGAACTTAGTTTGCACTTCTCCTTTAAGCTTAGATCTAGACCAGAATTCCACTTTAACCTGTCAGTGTTCAGAAAGTTATGCCTGATCAGTGTAAAAAACAAGCATTTAGCTTTGATTAGTTTCAGACACTTGTTTTCTATGAGCTCTTTAAGCGAAGTTCTTTAAAAAGAAAAAGCCAGCAGCTACAAAAACTGTAGCTGCTGACTCTTAAAAAACAGCCACTTACCCGTCCCCTGATCCTGCTGTGTTCTCTCCGCAGCTCGTTTCACCGGTTGGCCGGTGTTCCTGCCACTGGCATCTTCACTGTGGGCATGGCTAAGACAGCTTGCGGCTTCACAGCTGGGTGCCCACTGCGCATGCGAGTGTATGCTGTGCTTTCTGAATGCTCCCATGGTCTTCTGGGACATATCACTTGTCCCAGAAGACTACGGGAGGGGGTTGGGGACAACTTCCGCTTCCCTAGGCCACTGATCTCCAAACTGTGGCCTGGATGCAGCCCTTTGCTTGCTTTTATCTGGCCCCTGGGGCACTTTTCCTCCCACTGATACCAACAATGGGGCATAATTCCTGCTACTGACATCAACAACTGGGCACTAATCCTCTCATTGACACCAACAAATAGGTAAATATAAGGATCTTCTTTCTACAGAGCACATAGAATAGGAGTTAGGAGAGGGGAGGTTGAAAAGAGTTTTTTTTTTCCCCCAAATCATACTTACCTAGGTGGATGCAGTTGGTGTCAATGAGAGGATTAGTGCCCAGTTGTTGATGTCAGTAGCAGGAATTATGCCCCATTGTTGGTATCAGTGGAAGGAATAGTGTCTTGTATTAGTGGGAGGAAAAGTGCCCCAGGGGCCAGCTAAAAGCAAACAAAGGGCTTCATCCAGCCCCCAGGCCAGTTTGGAGACCACTGACCTGGGCGATCGGAAGTGAAAGTTGTCCTCCCACTGACACCAATGATAGGGCACAATTCCTCCCACTGGCACCAAAGATAGGGGACCATTCCTCCCACTGACATCAACGATAGGGCACTATTGTGCCCACTGACACCAACGATAGGGCACTATTCCTCCCACTGACACCAACGATAGGGCACTATTCCTCCCACTGACACCAACGATGGGGCACTATTCCTCCCACTGACACCAACGATGGGGCACTATTCCTCCCACTGACACCAACGATGGGGCACTATTCCTCCCACTGACACCAACGATGGGGCACTATTCCTCCCACTGACACCAACGATGGGGCACTATTCCTCCCACTGACACCAACGATGGGGCACTATTCCTCCCACTGACACCAACGATGGGGCAGTATTCCTCCCACTGACACCAGCGATGGAGCAGTATTCCTCCCACTGACACCACGATGGGGCAGTAGCCCACTGGGGCAGTATTCCTCCCACTGACACCAGCAATGGGGCAGTATTCCTCCCACTGACACCAGCAATGGGGCAGTATTCCTCCCACTGACACCAATGATGGGGCAGTGTATTCCTCCCACTGACACCAATGATGGGGCAGTGTTCCTCCCACTGACACCAACGATGGGGTGCTATTCCTCCCACTGACACCAATGATGGGGCACTATTCCTCCCCACAGACACAAACAATGGGGCACTATTTTTCCCAATGATGGGGCACTATTCGCTCAGTGACACCAATGATGGGGTGCTATTCCTCCCAGTGACACAAACGATGGGGTGCTATTCCTCTCCCTAATTTCAAACATGCATTGTTTACTCCCTCTGATGCCAGGACAATTGCTATTCCCAATGACCACAGTCCAGGCCCCCTAAAAACTGAAGGACAGTAAATTGGCCCTGGCCTAGATCGCAGAAGTGGGAGCGGGTACCTGTCAATTTCAGGTACCCATTCCCCAAAGATGTCAATCCTTAATGGGGAGCGGGGGACCAGTCTTTAAAGACGAACATCCCCTTCTGGGTGGAGCTCCGCCTTAACTCAAACCAGTGTTGATCTATGTAGATCAAAGGGTGGGGTGTGAATGATCCCCATCACAGCTCAGCCGGAAAGTAAGGGAAGTTCACTAAGACTGGAGCAGCTGTGCATGGCAACCAATCAGCTTCTCTCTTTCATTTTCAAACCACAACTGAAGAAGCTAAAGCAGAAAGCCGATTGGTTACTGTGCAATGCTGCTCTGGACTTGATCCAATATCTTTCATTTCGAGAAGGATTGGGATTTCGGTTAGTTGTCTTTGCGAGCCAGTGAACAGAGAGCACATAAGAGCCAGCCATGTCCTCTGACATCCCTTACCTTCACAAAGGTAATCGGGGTGGTGGTGCCCTCGATATCTAGGAGCACGGTGCTGACACAGGCCGGCACGGTAAGGGAGCCCATGCTTCCTCCAGCAGTGTGTATGCGGCGGAGAGGCGGAAGCTGCAGTGTGAGGAGGCGGGAGCACTCCCCATCAATGTGCTTCCACTGCCTGCACTGCTAATGTGGCCAGCAAGACTACTCCCAGCTCATACAACCTATTGGAGGTTCGCAGCCCGCTAAAACCCGCTGTGTGCGTGTATGAACCCGTTCGATGGTGTAGTAGACGCCCCTTGTACAGCTCGGGCGTGCTTCTGTATATTTTACACACCATACATAAAGGAACTAGCACAGAACAAACACCCTCCAAACCGGGCCCTCTGCACACGGCCTTAGCACCCCCTTTGTCTTCCCTGCGCATCCCCGCCCAGCCTTCTCAACTTCCGGCCGTCCCACCTCCCCCCGGTCCGCTTCCAGCCAATAGAGGGCGAGCGCTTTCATGTGACGTGTAGGGAATGGAGACACCGTATTGGCTCCCGCTTCTGATATATAAGCAGAGGGCGGGCGGCGGGAGGATCTTTTTCGTTGTTGTCTGTGGTGTAGACGGGTCAGGCGTGTTCCTTGTACGTTTAGTAACTAGCTGGCGCTGTAGGTGAAATAATGAGCGGGTACGGTAACGCCGAGGAATTCTCCGAAGGAGCCAAAATTAACGCCAGCAAAAACCAGCAAGATGATGGGTGAGTGTGGGGAGCGCCGCTCAGGCGGTCTGGGGAGGTGATTGTGCTGGGATAGAGGGAACGCTGCTGAGGGGAAGGGTTTTTTCTTTACTGCCCCCCACAGGGATGGCCATACTGGCGCTATTTTAATAAACAGCACCGGTGCCATTTGCGTTCATTCTGTATCGCATGTCGTCAGCGGTAGCCAATAGGACGGGAATAGGCGGAGCTCTAGCACGTTCGCTTCTGGTTGGCTTGTTGGGTGACGTCAGTGCGCTCCTGCCTTCCCTTGTAAGTATACAGCCGTGATACGCTGACGCTGGCACTGTACTAGAGCTAAATATAGCCGCATAGGTTCTGATTGCCTATGGAGAGGAATGGATCACACTGCGACAGGATCGGCATAGGCTGTAAATGGCAACCGATCTGATTCTAGACTTTCATTTTGAAAACGTCTCAGGAAGCTATTATGTATATCTTCAGTTTTTAAAGGATCCCTGCTATGAAGTCAATTGGAAGGGTGATTAGAGGTCTACAAGTGTCTGTATTGCTGGCTTTCTCAGGAAATCTTCCATTGCTTCATGGCAATGAGTAACATGCCAACATGGATAAAAGGGACAAACCTTTTTTTTTTTTTTTATTCAGGCCTGCAGAGCATTGCACATGTGATCAGTGCAGCATACTGGCTCTTCATTTTTGCCCCAGGCTCATAGAGACCTTTAGTTAGGAGTGTGAATGTGCTCCATTGGAAGCTACAAGTCTCTCTGCTGTAATGGGAGGTGTGGTCTTTCCATTCACAGATTCATGTGAATAGATGAAACAGCAGTGTGGGCTCCGCCTACATCCAATAGAAGAATGCAGGGGGGGGGTTGGGGAATGTGACCATGTTAATTGTTACTTCCTACATATGCGTGTAACATGTAAAGGTGAACTAAGGCTTTGATCTTCTACCACCCCCTGCATAGCCTTTTTTTGTGTGACCTTTCACCCCTCTGACCCAGAGCTTGTATCTAGAGAAGGCAAAGAGAAGCCTCTCCCCAAAACGAAACTGATTCCTCCCAGTGTACATCCCTTCCTAATTTAGCCTTCATTTATCATTTCATTTTTATTCTCTAGTAAGGGTGCCAGTTAGAGTTGCTACCTTTTCCCTTTAACCATTGGCCCTCCAGAGGATTTATTTATTTCAGGTACTTATATAGCACCATCAGTTTACACAGTGCTTTACATATAGTACATTCACATAAATTATTATTTAATATGCTATTGCCAATAATACATTTTAATACCCTCATTTTCGCATTACTTTATTATTTATTTATTTCATGTACTTATATAGCGCCGTCAATTTACGCAGTACTTTACATCAATATAGTACATTTTATATCAGTCCCTAACCCTCAAGGGGTGTACAATCTAGGGTCCCTAACTCGCATTCATACATACACATACTTGGGCCAATTTAGACAGGATCCAATTCACCTACCAGCATGTTGTTTTTTTGGAGTGTGGGAGGAAACCGGAGTACCCAGCGGAAACCCACGCAGGTACAGGGAGAACATGCAAAATGCAAGCAGGTGGTGCCGTGGTTGGGATTTGAACCAACAACCCTAGTACTGCCAGGCGGAAGTGCTAACCATTTAGCCACTGTGCTGCTTTACATATATATTGCACATTCACAGCAGTCCCCCCTCTCATGAAAATATGAAATGTGTATGTTTTTTGTTTGAGCGCATTTTCCACATCTTTGGATCCATCAAGGAGAGATCAGATGGAAGAGTTGGTCTGAAACAATACCACCGAGTAACCGCTTGCCCTCCTGAGGATATACCCCCATCCCCTTCCTGACCAGGCCATTTTTTGCGTTTTGACGCAGGGTTAACTGAAGGATGCTGTGCACAGCCATCCCGAGCAGTGTGCCTGAGCTGACAAGGAGGAAGACTGTAAACCAGACTTCCTCGTCAGTGATGTTTGTAATTACCGGGCGCCGGTAGGTAATCACTGGTTGGGACCCGATGCTTGACATCTGTGGCTGCGAATGGTGGCATGGGCTTGCCCCTACCTGCAAGTGCAAAAATTACGTGTATATGTGATCTTGCACACCCATGTAGCATATCTGCCATTTGGTGGCGGGTAAGTGGTTCAACTCAAACACATTAATTACACAGGTTCTGTTGCTTTCCTGCATACAAGGCAGTAGGGATACGCAAAATAATTTGTGTGTGTGTATACACGTAATTTTTCATTTTTGGGTAGGGGTATGCCTATATTCGTGGACTTGGCTGTTCACTGGGTTCCAGCCGGTAATTACTCGCCAGAACCTGGTGACTGCCATGTATTACTGGTGGGGGGGAGAACTGTATTTAAACAATACAGTCCTCTCCCCTGTCAGCTCCAGCACACTGCTTTGTATGGCTCTGCATAGCAGCCCTATACAAAGCAGTATGCTTACAGTTGAAAGCATACACAGCTCACTGAACAGCAGTTAACCCTTTGATCTCCCCAAATGTTAACCCCTTTTTTCTGGTGCCATTAGTAGTGTCTGCTTTTTATTAGCACTGATCACTGAATTGGTGTCACTGGGGATGTCAGCAACAGTCAGTTCCCCCCAGTGTCAGAATGCCTGCTGCAGTGTCGCTGATCACCTCCATTACTAGTAAAAAAAAAATTCCAGTATCTATACCATTTTTGTAAACACTATAACTTTCACATATACCAATTAATTTACACGAATTGGGATTTTTTTCTTTTTTTTTTAGGGAAGACGTATAGAATACATTTTGGCCTAAATTTGTTTGTTAAATTTTTTACTGGACATGTTTAATAGCAAAATGTCAAATTATTTTTCTCAATTGTACTTTATTTTCTGCACACCAGGGTGGATAAAAATCAATGATTTTTTTAAAAAATCAAAAACTTCTTTTTTTTTTTTTTTATTTTTATTTAAATCGGATTTTTTTTTGATTTAAATGCTTTTTGAGGAAAATATATTACCATCCAAAGGTTATTCCATCATGAAATAAAGATTAGTTTTTTAATTATGTAGAATAAGGCTGTATATGTTTAATTTTTTGGTAAATAAATTCCATGAATCCATTCACAATGTCATGCTCTTCCAGTGGTTTTTGTAAGATTATTGGGCAGTTTCTCTGCCTACAAGATATTATCACAGATGTTTGGTTTACTTTTGCAGTTCTCAAAACTGAATTTGACTCAGCGGAGATCACATAACATGAACAGAGTTAAAAGACCTTAATCCTAACTTCTACAAACCTATGAATACGGAATCAACCCCTTCAGTGCCAAGTTTCAAGAAGTTCAGTGAATAGAATAGAAACAATATTTTTCTGATTGTTTGGAGTGGAATAGATCTGCACAAGAAGAAAGTGAAACTAAGTGTGAGGAGGAAGGGGCTGACAGTCTAGGTTTCTTAAAATATATATATTTTGTTTAGCCAAATTAGTTAACAAACATGGATGTTTGTTTAAGCAAATAACATATGCTGTAATGTTGTTGTTTCAGTTGAATAAATCTATTTAAATTAAGGTAAAGATAATTTTTCTCCTTCCTACGTACAACAGAAAAGTTGTCCAAATATGAATGATTAACCTATTAATCTGGGGATAAAAAAACTAATATGAAAAGTTGTTCTAAAAATCTTCATCTACTTGCATTAGTCTTTATGTAGAAAAACTATGATTTAAATCAAGCCTTACTGACTAGTCATTTAAATCAAATCCACCCTGTTGCACACAAAAAAAACCCTGCACAGGCAATCGAATACCATCAAGAGCTCTATTCGTGGGGGGGGGGGGGGAGAAATTTCATCTGGGTGCAGCGTTGCACGACTGTGCAATTTTCAGTTAAAGAAACACAGCGCCATAATGCAAAAAATGGCCTGGTCAGGAAGGGGGGTTTATTTACTGGAGGGCAAGTGGTTAAGGTGTTAAACTGTGCCTTCTCTGCATTAAATTTGCCTCAGAACCCATGCAATTAATATGTTCGGTTTTAAAGGGATGAGGTGGCAACCCTAGTGCCTGTTTTTGCTCTGATTTCAGTATAACTTCACTAAAGATGCCTGCATACGCTTCATAATTTTTACATTACTTTTAGGCTGAGTTAATACTGACTTGCAGTGTACGTTTTCATCCATTTTATGTGCTTTTTAACATGTGTTGGCATCCACGCTGATTTTGTTTTAGCACACTTGTAAAATGCAGGTCAATGCATACACAAACAATTGTCCTGACCACACTACAAATGCTGCATTGGCTGGTGTTGCGTTAAAATGTGTACATGTTGCAATTTAACAGACTGCAGCATCTTGGGGTGAACAGGACACATTATTCAATCACTGTGCACTGACCTGCATTTTACAAGTGTGCTAAAGGGGTGATCAGTGCATGTGTATGCAAGTTAAACGCACACAAAAATGGATGGAAATGTACATCCACTTTTCCTACATTTTACAGCAAATCAGTGTGAATTCAGCATTCGTCTTGCATTTTTTTTTTTTTGTTCAGAATAGGCCTATAAAAGAAATTATTAATCAGAATTATGCAATTTCCTATAGATATAAAAGTGCAGACAATTGAATGAGGCTGATGAACTTGCTTTGTTTCTAATGCTATTTGTTTGTTTGTTTTTTTCTCCTTCCAAAGGAAAATGTTTATTGGAGGGCTCAGTTGGGACACAAGCAAAAAAGATCTCACAGAATACCTGTCAAGATTTGGTGAAGTGGTTGACTGCACAATAAAAACAGATCCAGTCACTGGACGATCAAGAGGTTTTGGCTTCGTCCTATTTAAGGATGCAATAAGTGTAGACAAAGTAAGTTTAAGTGTTGTCATACAGAGTGAAAGGTATGATGAAACCAGCTGCTTTCTAACTTAAGGATGGCATACTAGCTCTGAGCAGAGACTTCAGTTGCAGGGAGGCCAGTGCTTTAACCTTGAAATATTATATGGTCAGAGCTTCCCTCTATTAAGCTCTTCTTGAAATAGTTTTACAATTATAAAGAAGCTTGAGTTTACTTTGATTGGGGAGGGGGTGATCAAGTATGGCTAGTAGCTATGTATCAAAGTTGGATTAGCTGGAGGTGTTTTGAAGTAGATGTGTAGTTGTACTGATTCCCTTACTTGGCCAATAGAATAACAGGTTGATAATTTGCCTTTATTAAACTCCAGGTACTTGAGACGAAGGAACACAAACTTGATGGGAAACTTATTGATCCCAAAAGAGCAAAGGCATTGAAAGGCAAGGAGCCTCCCAAGAAAGTCTTTGTTGGTGGCTTAAGCCCTGATACCACAGAGGAACAGATCAAGGACTACTTTGGTGGATTTGGTGAAGTAAGTAAACTCTTTTGCCCCAGAAGGAACTTTGGTACAACTTTTTTTTTTTTTTTTTTTTTTACAGTAATGTAGTATGAGGTATCTGAGGTTATAGCACACCCTGTGTAAACTTGTTTTTGTGCATGACAAAAAGTTAAAAAACCCTGGCAAGATAAGTAAAATATTGGATTGTTTATAAATAATATTCAGTGTATGAAGCTGTTGAATTGGAAGCAATTTATTTTTATAGTTCGTACTACAGTTGGATAGTCTGCTTACCTTGTCAGACATTTGGGTGCACTTATTTAACCTTCCTAGCAGTAATCCCAATTGTGGCCCAGGGTTAATTTACAGTACAAATAGTAACCCCAAGCCACACTCAGGATTACTGTCATGCTTGTCCTGAGATCCCCAATCCTTACCTTGCCCTGCGATCCCCTGATGTCCTCCGGCTGATGCCGGCATCTGTCTTCTAGGTTCCCTTCCCTGCGAGCATTGGTACACGGGGGAGGAACCGGCGGGGGGTTTAAATAAAAGTAAAAATAACATACACACAATACATTGTAATCTGTTAGCATTGCATTATTGTATCAAACCATTTAACCTAAATTTTTTGTCCAGTACCCTGCCTGCACTTTTACCATTCTTTCTGCCTGGTAACTTGAAAATGTTCATGGCATCCAAAAAGCGTCCCTTTAGGTCAAAACCTGTTTTAGACCAGCTAGAGAACGGCAATCGTGAATAAGAATCACTTGCAGAACTGAGCGATAATTCATGGGGAAATTCCTCATCCGACACTGAAAGATTCTGCGACTGAGCGAACTTGGTGCTATATTTCATATTTTCAGTGTTTTTGGTTGATTACTCGAAATCATTTATGATTTCGAGTTCCAAGAGTTATCATACCCGGGATGTTTACTAGACTCCTGTTTTGGACCTATTTTAGTGAGTTATTCCTCAGAATTACAGGCCTACAATGTAAAACAAATTTCCATGCAAAACAATGTGCCACTTTTAACCTCCCTGGCGGTCTAACTAATCAATATTTTTGAATCACAAAGTAATTGGCAAAAGTTGGATGTGCATGTTTAAAGGACTTTTTGGGGCATGCAGAAGGTTAGGTCTAAATTGCTGGAACCTTTTTTGTAGATTGAGAACATTGAACTTCCCATGGACACAAAGACAAATGAAAGGAGAGGGTTCTGTTTCATCACATACACAGATGAGGAACCAGTAAAGAAGTTGTTGGAAAACAGATATCACCAAATTGGCTCAGGAAAGGTGAAATAATTAACAAGGCTCCCTTTACAACATCTGCTTTTAGCTTTTAGTATTCTGTATATTTAGTGATTCTCTTTTTCTCAGTGTGAGATCAAAGTTGCACAGCCTAAAGAAGTCTACAGACAACAGCAACAGCAGCAACAACAAAAGGGAGGAAGAGGTGCATCGACAGGACGAGGTGGTGGAAGAGGGAGAGGAAGAGGAGGTATATAAAATGCTTTTCAACCTATATTAAATTGTGATGTAAGGCAAAGTGAAGTCCTATGTCAGCTAAACTGTTCTGGACAGAGTGGGGAAGGAATAGTTTGTCAGGTGTCTGCAAATTTCCTTCCAGATGTGCTAATCTCTCAAATATTGATAAGCAAAATATACTTTTAGTAAAGTGGTTTTTGCTGTTGTATGTGCCTTTTTGTCCATTGTTGATCACACCCCATTTTCTTGTACTGGTGTCACTTGGGGCAAGAATTGAGTGAAAATCCCCCTAATATGGTCACAAACAGAAATGATGCTCCACTTTGTGCAACCCCAGACCCCCCCCCCCCCCCCCCCCACCAAAAAAAAAACACAATTTGCTGAGTATGTTGGTGCTTATTGGGCCTGCATTCATGCAGTAGGTTTGGCTTTTAGGAATAAAGGCCTAGAAACGTCAGGTAGTGTGGTCCAAAGTTCTCTTGAGAGTTCTCATGTCTGTCACCCAGACTGGAGATAGTCTCTCCCAAAAAGGGGCCACAGTTTTCTACTGTCCAAAACTTGCTACAATGCAATTTTTTGCAAAAAATTGCCATAACAAATCTAAGCAACCTCTTTGATGTTGCTCTAATTGTGCTTGTATTTGAATTTTGTATTCTCAAAGGTCAAGGTCAGAACTGGAATCAAGGTTACAATAACTACTACGATCAAGGATATGGAGGCTATGGAAACAACTCTTACGATTCGTACAACAGTTACGGTGGATATGACTATTCAAACTACAACTATGGAAGCTATGGTGGATACAACCAAGGTTACACAGATTACAGTGGTGAGTTTTTATGTTGAATTATCCAACATAACCTTCAAGGAGTTGCTGACATCTTCAGTTTCGTAACTTGACTTGTTTTTCACTGCAGGCCAGCAGAGCACATATGGCAAGGCATCTAGGGGAGGTGGAAGTCACCAAAATAACTATCAGCCTTATTAATGGCTTTTAACAATCACATCAGGTATGTATAAAGCAGAATGGATATTTTAAATTTTAAGATTTAAACTTTAATAAAGATATAAATTTAATCTGTGTGGACTCCTTTTTATAAATGTTAAATTGTTTAACAGCCTTGTAAATTGTTTGTATTGCATAGTACTTTTTTAGAGCTTTAACTTAAAGACGAACCTTGAGTATTTTTCCCCATTAAGTAAAAGACAGAACTCTTTTTAAATTGGTGTAATCTGGTCGTTTTATGCCAGATGAACTAAGGAATAAATAAGCAAAATTTTTTAAAGTAAATACCAAGGTAAAGTACTGAAATGGGTACAACTTAAGGTAAAGAAGAATGTTGTCTTCTAACTCTGACATTATACCTTGTTTGTACCCGCCAGCGGGAACTTCATTGCAGGCCGTGTGTCACCCTGACCACGTCTATCTCTGGGGTCGCACGTTGTGGGCAGAGTGCAAGGCGTACACCAGAAACCGCTGTCCTGTGGTATGGTCTCTTCCAACTTCATGTACCAGCGTAAAGATTAAACTGGGAAAAACTACTTCAGACTTTGCTTCTTAACCTTCAAAGTCTTTTTGTTAACGTTCATTGTTTTGCAGGCATTTTTTAAAGTAAATGAATTCACAGCTTAATATTGGCTTTTCTTAAAGTGATTGTATCCAGAGCTTTTGTTTATTTTTAGGATTAATGTTTACTTCCTTTCTTTATAGCTAATAGTGAAATCTGCAGAGGACTTATTTAACTGGAGGGTGAAATGTTTCTATGATCATATGCACATAATTAAATGGATTTTGTAGACTTGATACATTAGTTGGGGGTTTAAATGCCTGGAAAAGGATACAAATGTGCACTTTTTTCTTTTAGAGTATTTTTAAATGGGCTATGCAATGCTAAACTTGCCAAGAACCTAATACGTGTCTGTCTTATAGGTAGCTATGGCTAAGGATCGGCTACAGGAGGCTTTCATCCAGACTGGGAGTTTACAATTTTCTCTTATGAGGACTTTGTGTACAGGACACGCTTGTGTCTTGATGTAAATAGCATCTGGTCCCCCCACTTTTTTTTTTTTTTTTTTTTTTCACCATGATCTATCAACTTCATCTGTGTATACAGTGATTTTATGTTCCCCCTAATTTTATGTTTATAAAATGTAATTTTGTGACATTCACTGCAGTGTGTCCAGTGTGATTTATAATAAAAAATTTTAAAAAAAAAACATTGTTAAGAAATCAGTCCTTTCTTTTTAGAATGAAAAGTTAGCCGACTTAACTGTTTTCACGTAAACTTATCCTTTCTGCCAGTAACCCACTGTGCACACAACAGCCTGTCAGTGTTTAGGTCCTGGAGCCAGAATCTTTCTACTGGTTCCCCTGTTCTGTAGATTTCCTGCCCTGCAGGTAATGCAGAAAATGCATTGTGAATTAAGCAGTAAGATGCAAGTAACTACTTCACAGAAGTGGGATTACCTTCACTCAGAAGATGTTCCTCATAAGTACATCTACAATGCCTAGTAAAGGAGTTTTCAAAAATCCACCAATGCAGATGAATTTAAAAATATTTAGGTTTTTAAAGTGTAATTGCAGGTTTTTTTTTTTTTAGTTTAAATAGTTTGCTTGGGCCAAGCTGCCAAAACATTACTAACTGCAGCTGCTTTACGTGCTGTAATACTGTTAAAGCATCAGTTTAGGATGCTGTGCTATGTTCTGAAGTCCTACAAGAGACTTCCCATCTACTGCTGGAACTAGTCAGCCTGAATCGGTCTTCTACTTTCAATAGTAGATTTGTATTTTTCTCCCCAATACAAGGCTTCCTCTGGCAGAGGTGGGCAGGCGACATCACCTTTTCCTTTTTCATACAAACACAACTTGTATGTAACATTTTCGTAGCTTCTACTGATTTTACTTCTGAAACCATCTCCTAGCTGTGCTGAAACTGCTGTTCTGTTTCTGCTGCTTTGTGCATTCAGAATTGCAGAATTTGACCTGCATGGATGAGAGATTTCAGTTGCCTGTAAAATGTCTCCTTACTTAATTTGTGCTATTAAATTGGCAGTTCAGACAAAACCTAACTCCCACCCCCATTCTAAGGCTATTCTATAACTCTGTAAATAAAAGATCTGGGTATTTGCCTATTTTGAAGTTGGTCAGGTCTGTTCTCTAGCAGTAGCTTCTGTGTACTGAAGAGATTACTGACAATAGCTGGAAATGCCTGAGATGACAATCACCCATAGGCTTACTATGGGGCAACTGTTGGCTGCCCCTCCACTACACGAAAGCTGCCACTGACAACTCTGGCTTCAGAGTAGGTAAGTATACAGCTTTTGTTTACAGGATTTTGCTTGAACTTCCACGACTAGACTTATAGGGGATCACACATAAGGGTAAACCAAATCTTCATGCCCAAGCACAATTTTGACGTCATATGTATCAGCACAACTACTTTGTACATCCAGGTGAAAATATATATATATATATATATATATATATATATATATATATATATATATATATTTTTTTTTTTTTTTTTTTTTTCCTTGTAGCTGTATAGTTCATGTTACCACCATAACCTACCACCAAAGAACGCAAAATAAATTCTGCTCATAAGCTCCAAGGATCAGGGCTTTCCTAACCCTCTTGTATTGAACTGTATTGTCTCCTGTTATATTGTAAAGCACTGAGCAAACTGTTGGCGCTATATAAATCCTGTGACAATTGCAGCAATACCACATGTGTATGCGATTTTGTTTGTACACATAGTACAGCCCAGAAACAATGGTGTGCATCAGACCTTTGATCTAGGTTTTAAATTTTTATTTTCCCCCCCCCCCTCTGCAAGGAGATGCAATGCATCTCCATTCAGAGAGGGAAATTGGCGAGCAGGTGAACTGGAATCTGGTATGGGGCTCAGTGCTGGGTGTATGCTCCCAGCACAAAGGGAGATGCAAAAAAGCCCAGTGCAGTGGGGCTGCATTTTTGTGTTTTTATGCTAGTGTCAAGGATTTAAGAATGCTTGCACCACTCTTAAATTTGGAAACCGAGCAGATTATGTTCATTAAAATTGTTTTAGGACTATGTTCTATGCTGTGACAGAACAGTACAGCTGGAGCTGCATGTTTCTGATTCTTTTGTACATACATCCCCCCCCCCCCCATTTTGTACCCCACATTGAATGTGAAAGGGATGTGAGCGGTTTCCCACAGATCCCCATTGGGTCTGGTGGTACAGAATGTGAAGTGTGCAGTTTTCTATACTGAAAACTGCAGTAATCCCTTTGGTAATTTTGAAACAGAAACTGGTGTCTGTGGTACAGGTAGACAAACAGGTTTGTCTGCTTTAGCAGTCCATACAATGATTTTTTTTTTTTCTATTCAACCAGCTAGATTAAAAAAAACACTCACTGTATTCTTGGCAGGGAGCCTTCCTCACTGCCAGAACATAATTATCTGTGTTGCTGGCACCACTGATCTTTGGTGGGGAAGACAGGGTGGTTCGACAGAAGTCGACCAGGGTACCATGCATGGATCAATGTTTGGCCAGATTAAGTTAATGTAGCAAATGCCATTTTAACACAGGTTAATTCCCTGGGTTGAATTTCAGATGGGACATTTACCCATAATTTAATTGTAGTGTGTGGAACCGTAATGCGTTAATCTGTACATGGATAAATACTGGCATGTGCATGAAAATCCACACAGCTGCTGTATCTCTCAGCATGTCATTGATTTAGACAGGCTGGCAGCATGGAATCACTGGTCATTCCCTGGGTGCATAAACAATCCTGCAGAGGTACGGATTTATACACCCATGTGTCAGTTCTAAGGCAAGACAGCAATGCACTAAGGCAGTGTACCTATGCTAGGAAAGAAATCTGAGTCTTGACACATTTTAGGTGCATAGGTATGTAAAACGCATCACACTATACAATCTGATTCTATAATCTGTTTCGCTCTGCCATTAACTATTTAGAACAAGGGCCTGACTGACTGGATACAGAGTGTTGGATAGATACTGTGGGTGATACTGTCTGGTGTGTCCTATGATATAGTTTTGGTAAAGCTAAAAGATTGTATAATGTAGGGCCAGCTTTAGACAAATACAGTAGGAGGGAGTAGGCAGACACTCAGCTGTCAGTCCCCATTCACATCACGGGAATTTATGTTCTTGTACATGGTTTTTTGACGGGGTGATTTGAAGCATTTCTGCTCATTGCACATTAACTTGAATGCGCTGCCTTACACACCAAAAACTCTATAGAAGCTCCAGAAATCTTTTAAACAGAGCGTGCTGCATATTTTTAACGTGTGTGGTTTTTTGTTTTAGCACATTTGCCCCACGATAGAACGCGCAGCAAGTGTGAGGCTGCTAACCATGCTTTATTGGTAATGCAAGCACCATGTGCATTTCCAGAACGCAAAGCATGCATATTCTGTTCAGAAACTCGTACATGTGAATGGAGCCTCCTTCATGTGAAAACAAAACAATTTCACTTTCAGGCCCTATTCACACCTAGCATTGTGGGAGCACACATTATTTTTGCTTTTTTTTCTATTGTGCAGCCCATTGATTTAAAAAGGCTGCCCTACACGTGGCAAAGTAGATCATGGGACATTTTGGCATGTTGTGGTTTGCAAGTCTTTTACGGTGTTTTGTCATCAGGTAAAATAATCCAATGTGTACTGTAACAAAGTTGCTAGTGTGACATATAAATAAATGTTTGGTTTTTCTCTAGCAGTTAAAGCTAAAGTTTAGGTATGGCAATTGTTATATTGGTTGATCTTGGCCCAATGTAAATATGTGCCATACCTGTGGGATCCTTGTGAGAGCTGGAAATCACTGTAGTAGGTACCATGGCTATAGTGATTACAGGTGAAACTCACAAAAATTAGAATATCGTGCAAAAGTTCATTTATTTCAGTAATGCAACTTGAAAGGTGAAGCTGATATATGAGAGACTCATTCACATGCAAAGCAAGATAGTTTAAGCTGTG